GGACTGCTTTTAGCTGGTTTTAATTCAGTTTCTTTTTCACAGGTTTCTTGTTGTTTTGATCGTACCATTGTCAAAGCCTTAAGTTTACTAAATGAACCCTGAAAAGGTTCAACAAACCAGTCCTGAGGGAATTGGGGATTGGCTAGCTGGGACCTTATGGCCTTTTGAGGCCACGTTGGATTTACCCTGTGATTCTGGTGCTAAGGGAAGCTCCAAGTTAAGACTAATCAAAATATGAACCAATTCTCATCAAACTCAGCTTTCCAAACCTTGAATTAGGATCAGAAATTATGGGAATGCCCTTGGCAGAAAAGCACCTGTGAAGCAAAGCAGGCTTAAAACGCCCATGAGCAGGAAATCCAAGAGAAGTGGCTGCTGGCTCCTGGCGTCCTGGGCAACCTTCAGGTGGGAGGAGCCCTCTGAGATCATGGTGCCCAGCGACGAGGCCGTGGCTGTCTATTGTGTCCGAGTGCCACATCCACATGGCTTTCAATCCCTCTGCGGATAGGGCCTCCACCATTGCCCTGGGCAGCTGTGCCAGGCCTGGACAGCCTTTCCACGATGAGACTTCCCTATATCCAGCCTAAACTTCCCCTGGGATCACATGAGGCCATTTCTGTCCCTTAGGTCTCACAGTGGCTGCCCTGAGCAGCCATGACCCCAACATGGGAGCAGCTTGTATTTTGTCCTGGCTTCCTTCCGCTCCCATCTGGAAGGGCCTCGCTTTTGAGAGAGGAGCCAGGTAAGGCTCAATTCCATTGCCAGTTTGGCAGGTGAGAACTTACAGGTCACGGACACGTGTGGGAGAGATGTTGCCTTGCTCATCCACCTACATGTGTGTGGTGGGGCAGCTAAAAGAAGCTTTTTGTCATCGCTCTCTCCCCTTGTTTCTCCTCTGCTGCTTTCTGTTTCCTCCTGTTATAATCTGTGGACCGAGAAAGTGAAAAATGTGTTTTAGAAATTCTTGGGAATTTTGTTTGTAGGAATGGAAATGCTGGTGGAAGTGATATTTGACCTATGTGGCCTATGGAATGTCTCAGGAGCCGATTTATGTGTTCATGCTCCTGTTGTGTTCATTTGGGCTGTGGCTCAGGCTTCTCTCCCTGGTCTCTTGCACTTGCTGTATCTCTTGGATGCTGTGCAGAATGGAATCAGGCAGCCAAAGATCAAGTTCACCTTCTCCCTGACCCTCTACGTTGCTCGTGTGGCACAGCAGATGCTGAAGCCAGGTACTGGAACTTCCTGCATGTGTCACTGAACACGGGGCCTTGGGGAATGTTCATCTCCTCGCCTGCTCTGTGCTCGTGCACTCCTGACTGAGCTTTTCATTCTGGGGAAGAAAAGGGGCAGGATGGTCAGCAGTGTAATGAGCCTCAGAGCAAAGGCCTTCTGCAGTTCCTGGGCTGTTCTCCCAGCTTGGAACTCTGTGCAGTGCAGCTTCCATTTATTGTCTGTGGTTGTGGATTGGGAATGTTGTCCTCCTCCACAGTGCCAGCTTTTTCTCTTCACAGAGGAGCACATGTACATAAAGGTAAACAGTTTCCTTCTGTCACACTAGTATTTAGACCTGAGGAAAGTATCAGGTTTTTTCCAGCTTTTCTACAGTTTTGATTTGGAGGTAAGAGTTCCATTTTAGGTATCTAGTAATTTTCAGAAGTGTATAGAAAAAAGCCGTAAAAAAACACAATGAATTCTCATTGTTCCATGAGTGGTTAATAAGAGGCATCTTTCTTTTGTTTTATATTGGAACTAAAAATGTGATTTCTGTGGGGCTTTTGTTGTTTTCTTAATACTAACACACAGTGAGTTGTGCTGTGTATGCTCTGTGAGCACAATAATCAGAATATTCTGCCCCAGCTAGCCTACATTCATCTTTGAGTTTAGACTAGTAACGCTGAGTTCAGCTGAAGTATTTTGGGAACAGCAACTTCTAAAATTCAATTTCCACTGCATGTTTGGGCTGCAGACTGACTGTTCCTGATGGGTGTTAATTACCATGCAGGAAATACATAGCACTTGTATTTTCTTTTCTCAGGACTGATGTAGATGTGGCCAAGCTGACAGAGTTCTTCAGCACCCTCAGGTCTGTGCTGGAATACCGTGCTGTTGTTGTTGAGGCTTTTAGGGAGATGAGGCATTTCACAGTCAGCAACAGCGTCCTCTCCGCCAGGGAGCTGCTGCTGCTGCTGCTGCACAAGTGGAGCCTTGTCAGCAAAGACCTGCGGCTGCAGGAGGACCTGCAGGCCCTGGCTCAGAAGTGCCAAAACAAAGAATTGCTCAGTAAGTGCTAAAATACTTCAAGGAAGGCATATTTTGTTGCAGCTGTTACAGACCAACAGTAGAAGTTAGGCAAACTTCTCTGGAAATAGTACTAATACCTTCTGTCAGACTGATGTAGCTGGAGGGAGGAGGGAAGGAAATGGAAAGGCATTTTTCAGATCTTCCTTGTGGTGATTTCCAACCTGAACACAATTTGGAAGCTTTGGAGAAACACTATTTAACAGGGAGAAGAACTTTAAAATGAAACTTAGGAACCTGTGTAAGGCAAATCCTAGGGAAAAAAAAATAAAAAAACAAACCCAAAACAACCTGGTCTGCATTTTGTATGAGAAATCACATTCCACCCAAGAAAATATCACCAGGTCCAGGGCATGGGAGGGTTCCTCCTCGTTGGCCAGAGTACACAAACCAAGCACCAAATAGGCCTGGCTGGAGCCTGTGTGGGGTCAGCATTATCAGCAGCAAGTGTGGCCTGAGGGGCTCAGGCAGAACTTGGGGTGGGTCTGACCTGTACTGGCCACATCTTCTCTGTTCTTGCTAAGGTGGGCAAAGGCAAATCTGACAAGTGAGTACGTGCTTGAGATGCTCAAATCTTGAGACTTTCAAATCTGTCTAGAAATTGAAAGTGTGCTTGGTTTTAGTTTCTAGCGCTTAAAAGCGGTCTTAAAGTATTCTTCAATAACTATACCCTGAATTTAGGCTCCACACCACAGTTCTTTCACACAAGTGTTGTTTTATTATACAGTGATTGCTCATCTGGACCCAGGCTGTGTCGCAGCCAAGCTGTTCTTATGTCCCTTGAGAGGACACCCAGGGATTTTTTTCTTAATAAGGACTGCTGATCAGTCAATATGTTGACTCCTGGTTTCATGTAAATATTTATTTAAATTTTTGTATCCGAAAGCAAAGCATTTATCTCTGGACTTCCCTGCTATTCAGTATCTACTGAACTGGGTGTGCATTTTCCTAAGCTAATAAAAAAACCTCCCTGTGATTCAATAATTTCCAAAGAAACAGTATGAGGTCTCTTCTTTTTCTTGTCTCCATAGCTTTAGCTAGACTCTTGCTCAAAGACAGGAATGACTCCATAGCTATACGTGGTAAATTGTTAGTTTGGTGGGGGATTTTGCAAGTTCAGGGCTAAGATACAGTGTAAGAAAAGGCTTTTTTTTTTTTTTTTTTGTAGCATTAGATAAATGTTTTTCCACGAGGTGGAAATAAAATGAGTGTGTATATGGAGTGAATAAGTGAGAAAGTAAATGGAATAAATGTTAAGTGCTTTTAGTGAATAAAAGGTCTTAGATGCCTGAGAAGTAGCACATGTTCTAATAAAAGTTAAAAAACATATTAGTGTTTTTTAGAGGATTGAAGAACTTAGTTTCAGACATAGTAAAGTTAAAAATATTACTTACATTTTTTAGTTAAAACAAGATAAGCCACGTACATAGTTTATACGTAGCTTGGTGTGTTAAAAAAATAAAATTTTCATAAGAAGTAGTGGTCCAAATTTCTGTCTTGGCTAATTAGAAAGTTTCAATAAAAATCATACATCAGGGAGAGCTGGTGCTCTATGCCACGGCTTTATGCCACGTGCATTTTGCCGTCACAGTTTGCCATTACTTTGACCACTTGCTTTTATGCCATGTGCTCATGCCATTGTTTTTCTTTGTTTTGTTTTGTGTTGTGCTTCTACAATAAATAACTTTATACCAACTATTAGTTGCTTCACTTTTTAAAAAAGAACATAAGCCCACAGTGTGTGTGCCTAAGAGCACCACCCGGGGGTCTAGAAAACCTTCCAGGGGAAGTTCTTACGGCTCTGCTTAATGCTTTATGAATTATGGTGATGATGATGATTTTCTGGAAGCAGGCTGTCTGTTCTGATCCATTTTCTTTCCTCTCCCTGCAGACTCTGCTGAAAGGCTGAGGTGAGACCAGGATCTGTAAAATCTCTGACTCTCCAACTCTCCTTGTCTCCCCGAGACCGAAGCCGTGTTTGCTGTCAATGGTTACGTAGTGGCAGATGCTGAAGACTGAAAACTTTGGGTTTTTTGCCCTGAAACCCAAGACTCTCTCTGCATCTGTGACCTGTATATCTGTTGAAAGAGTTTCTGGGTTTAGAAAGGTTTTTACATCCTGCACTATATATATATATATAGTGGGGGGTGGGCGTGGCTGTGGGAGGGGTGTGGCTTTAGGGGTGGAGTTACAGCCGTGAGGCGTGGCCTGAGGGGGTAAAAGGTGTGGCTAAAGGGGGAGGGAAGGGTTTAAGGGGTGGGTGTGTCCTGGGAGGAGGTGGGTTCACAAAGGGGTGTGGCCATGGTGGGTGGGGCTAAAGTGTTTCCCCACCCCCAAGTGTCCTTAGCCGGGGCAACCTGGGCCTGGAGCGGAGCGGGGCCGGGAGCCTGAGGTGAGTGACCACTGAGTGGACCCTCACTGACCACTGACCCCCGAGTGACCCCTGCGTGATCACTGACCCATGAGTGCTGCCTGAGTGACCCCTCAAAGACCCCTGACACCTGAGTGACCCCTTGATCCCTCTCCCAGCTGCCCGGTCCTGCTGGTGGTCGGTGACAACTCCCCCCACGAGGACGCCGTGGTGAGTGGGGGAGGTGTGATGTGGGGGGGGTCGTGGTCACTCAAGGTGTGGTCAAATGACACCACCCTGATCCCTTGACCCCCCTGGGCCCCTCCCCCAAGGTGGAGTGCAACACCAAACTGGACCCGACACAAACATCCTTCCTGAAGGTGACGTTTGACTTCCTGATGACCACCGAGTGACCACCGAGTGACCACTCGATGGTCACTCGACGACCTCTCTTGCAGATGGCCGACGGCGGCGGGCAGCCACGGATTGCCCAGGTGAGGGGCCAGAGGTCACGGCAGGGGTCAGTGGGTGTGGGGGGTGGGAGTGGTCACCCAGGGAACATTCGGTGGTCAGTGCTGACCATGCCCCTCCCCCCAGACCAGCCGGCTGACTGAGGCCATCAAGAACTTCCTGCAGGGCATGGGCTACAGTGAGTAACCCCAATACCGGAGGGGCTCATTAATATGCACTAATATGAGCAGCCTATGGG